ATATATATATACTTTGTATAGTTATATTTACAATAACTCAGGTGCATTGTCTTTTTAAATGCAGCCTGGAACATAAAAAGTTGTACAGTTTGTGCGGTTTCAGTTTGAGTGTACTTGTCAGCACACAATCCCAACACCTGCTCACCATCACAGTGTCTCTTTTCTTTGTGTTTAAAAACTTCAAACCTGGCATAAAATTCCTTTGACGAGTTCTGAGGGACATCCACTTGTCATGTTACTTTATGATTTCATATGGCAGAATCCTGCATTTATTTTTGGTCATTTGGGCTACTGCTAGTGGCAAAACAACACTCTTTGTATTCTGGTCCCTTTGTTTTTTCTGCCTCTGTTGAATACATAAATGCAACATGTTTTAAAGCATCAGAAACCCTGTACCTGAGATCAAGGTGTTGCAGATGGCAGAACGGCAAATTTTGCTGGCAGATCCCAGGTCTTCACCCTCCTCTTCATCCTCTGCAAGGTTAATCTCTGTGATGGTCTCAGGGCTGAGGTGGGACATCATCATCATGCTCTTCCTCTTCAGAGAGCGGTTTTGACGCTTTAACTACCGGGTCATACGAGTCATACAAGGAAGCACAGAGGGAAACATGTTAGGCTAATTCCACACATCGTGCATGCTACTGTAGACCATAGTAAACATGCCAAGAAGACAAATAAACTGTGGTCAATCCAAAGGAATCTGAATCTATTTATCACTTCTTATCACTGTGTGTGTGTGTGTGGGGGGGGGGGGGGGTATATTTGCAAATCATCTCATAAATTACTGAATGTATTTTTATGAATCTTTCAGGAAGTTATTATTAGGAAGATAATTTATTTTATTTATTGTTTATTTGATAGGGACAGATCTAAGAAACATAGCTCGAGACAATCTAATGCCTGCATCACAGTGTATGTAGCCAAAGCTAATTCTCAACACCCGTCCCTAGAAGCACCTTTAACAGTTGGTTAAATGAAAAGTTAAGATCAACAGTAAATACAATAAAATGATTTAAAAAAAAAAGAAAGATAAAACAATGTACCAGTATTTAAACTACAGAGTCAAAAACAATTGCAATATATAAAAACGAGTACAATTCTGATTCATCTTTAGACAATTCTTAAGCCTTGACGTGAATATTTTAATGTCAGTTATGGTCTTAAGATCAGATGGTAATGAGCTCCACAGCTTACAGCTCCTAACAGAGAAGGCTGCTTGTCCAAAACTTGTCCTGCAAAGTGATATTTTACATTCATGAATTGTGGAACTTCTTGTTGCTGTTCTGTCTCTCAACAAAAGTAAGTAATGGCTCAAGTGCTACACTGATGCATTTATGGATCAGTTTAAGAAAACAAAAACTAATAAAGCTATCAAAGCTCATTAGGTTATATTTCTTAATAATGTTACAGTGGTGATAGGGCATTGGCTTTTTATCCATGATTTTTATGGCCCGATTGTATAACGAGCCAATGTGTTTGATTGCAGCTGGAGAGGCCTGAGCCCATGCGTTCATGCAATATATGTGACAAAAAAAATCATAGAATGCATATATAGCAGGGCTGCCTGACTTGGTATATACATAGTTTCTAATTAGTTTGAAACAATTAATATTACTTTGCATTGTTTTTGAAATTGTCTTTAAATGTTAATTAAGTTTAAGTCGAGGATCTAGTGCCAAGCCAAGGTGTTTAAATTCAGCAACAGACTGAATTTTTTCATTTTGTAAATGAACATTTTCTTTTAAATCAAGTTTTCTTATTGAGAAACACATGGAGACTGTTTTGATAGATTCAGAACTAGCTGATTTTGGATGAGCCACTGTTGGATGTTAGACATACAGTTAGTTAATCTGCAGATGTTCTGGTGACTTAGCGAGTGCATAAAGAATTGCATCATCCGCATAAAGTTGTCAGCTGACATCTGAGCAGTGCAGAGGCTAGTTGTTTAGGAAGAGCCTAAACAGCAAATGGCCGAGTATTGAACCTTGTCAGATGCCCTTTTTTAAGTAAAAAAAATAAATCCATATATGTCGAGTTAATTTAACACACTGAGCTCTATGCTGAAGATAAGATCTAAACCAGCTTATTGCCTCAACTGAAAAACTTCAATCTTAACATTTTAAATAAAAGCAAACTATGGTTAACCATATCAAATGCCTTTTTAAGGTTGATAAATACAGCACCCATCACATTACCCTTATCCAGGGACTTCTTTAAGTTTCCATTAACCAGCAGTTTGCCATTTCAGTAGAATAACCTGGTCTAAACCCAAACTGCTGTGGGTGGAGGAGCTGCTTAGATTCTAAAAACTCCATCAGTTGTGCTGCAACAACTTTTTCTATGACTTCAGATAAAACGGGTTAAATTGATATAGGGCGATAGTTACACATAGACTGCTGACTTCCTGTTTTGAATCCTGGAATGATCACCACTTTTTCCAAGAGCTTGGAAAGATACCTGTTCTGATGGAAAGATTAACGAGATGTGTCAATGGTTTAGCTAAAACATCTCAATATTTTTTTAATGAATACAACTATTCATATTATAAATCATCTACAACTACTCTTTTCTGGAGTCAGCTCAGATTAAGATGGCCACTGCAGCAAATCAATCTTAGCAAACATCAAAATGGCTATAACTCAGTCAATTTTATTGATACTTAGCTAGAATTTGGTGCGGTAGTAGCTGAGACTAATCCACAACTTATCTTCTGAGTGCTAACGGATTGCCTGAGATCTATGATTAAAACTTTACAATTACCTATTGAATTAAACTGTTAACAAAATATCTCATGAACACTGGAAAGATTTTATTGAAACTTGCAAAAATACAATCATTGGGCTGCCGTCTATAAATGATTCACTTTTGGAGTCAACGCAATTCAACAACAAATTGTGCAACATCTTTGTTTAAAACCTAGCACTACTTGATGGCGTTCATCCTATTTGTCTGTTAGCAAAATATTTTATAAACTACTAAACAAAATGAAACTAAACATTTAGAAAGTAATGTTTGGGTTTACAGTTACAACTCATTAGGTTTTAGTGTCGATCCAATGTAACCTTCCTGCTACACTTGGGTCAAAATGAACCATTAGTCCTCAACATTAAAACTCATGGGGCCCCATGGGTCAACTTGATCCAGGAGGCAGCAGGAGGGTTAAGATGGTTGCTCCAGCTCTTTGGCCTTAGTCCAGACAAAACTTTTACAGTTATTGAGCTAAATGTAGGTGTGACAGTAGCTGTGAGTCGTGTACATCAGATTGTTCAAGACCCTTGAGAAATCTCTATATTGCATGAGGTTGTGCAAAACATCATTTTCAAGGTTTGACAAATTGGCAACAATTTGTTAATTTTTCAGCATAAAATGATCTTAGTCTAAAAGTCTAACATGAAAAGTGATGGGTGATATGCATTCCTTCAAGCAAAGCTAAGTCTTTATTAAACATGTGCAGTTAGACTAACAAAACATTATTTTGTCATAGTCTAACCATGTGTTTAAACTAGAGATTCAGGTTTTAAATGTTTTATTTTATGTTACTGCATATTTGCAAGACTTAAAGGAGCATAAAGCAATGCAGTAGACATAAAGAGGGAAATTAACCTTGCTATGCCACAAAATAAGATTACATGCTGCAGCAATGCATTTCTCTAAAACACGTCTCTCTGAAAACATGAATAGATGTAGTCAAAACTAAAAGAGCCCCATGTTACTGTACTTCTGTTTCCAAGTCAAATTCATCATAAATATGTTTTTTTAATAATCCGATAAAATAGCAGGCAAATCATCAAGATAGAATGACTGACAGGGAAGATGTTCTGCTTTCCTTGTTGCTTTGCACTGCAATCATTTATAATAACACAACAACATGCAAAAGCAGCAAAAAGGCACAAATAAACAGATATCATCAAAGTCACGCAATCTGAGGCAGTGAAAATCTGTCTTCATTGATGTAATCAGCTTTAATAAAACACAGATGAATTTCCTCTTGTTTTTTGTTAAAGGTGTTTTTTTGTTAAAGGTGGTGTATATACTTTAATATCAAAATGACCTTTTTTAATTTCATCACTCAACCATATATCAACTAAGCACTTAGTAAAACTTCAATGAAGCCCATATGAAGGCGACTGATGCTAATCGTGCATGTGTCTTGATGACAGCGAAAGAACGAAAAGAATATAAAAAGAAAAAAGAAGGAAAATGTAAAACGCAAACCATAAAAATATGTATTAATGGCATCCTGCTGAGAGCAGATTGCAGCAAATCTATCTTTTGATGACACCCTTCAGACTGCATTTATTTTTCTGAAATGCAATCAACAATACACAACATGGAATCACATTCCTTTCATAAAAAATGTACAATTGCCAAGAGATGTACAATAAAATTACATACACAGATGAATCAAGACTGACATTGCATTGGCTTGTGCTCTCTGAAGGTCACCATTATGAAATAACAGCCCTTCCTCTTACCTTGATCACACATCAACACAAAAATATTAAGCATCACAACCACATTTTTATCTGTCTGCTTTTAAATTCAAACTGTTGATGTGTTAAGAAATTGCTCTAAACTTCAGCGTCTTTCAAATAATTCTTGGTAATATTTGGTTTGCAAAATGATTATAACTGGGTACAAATGAATTAAATCAAGATGAAGTCATTGTGTATGTAACGGTTCTTGTTGTACTTTGGCTTAATTCAAAATTATAATGAAACTGAAGGAAGCGCCTCAAGCAGAAATTGTAAGTTTGCGATACAGTATTACTAAAATGCCAGTAAAAGGTCAACATTTTTCAAAAAGCCAATGTCCACTGGTTTATCCCTCTTGTACGAACACTATTTATGGATTATTAGTGAATAAAGGAGTTGCTTTTAGCTTAATTGAGCGAACAGTCGATGCACGGACACAACGAGCGCTCGTACACCGTGTTGTATTAGGCAAGCAGTACGGACGACTACTGAGAGACCTGGTTCACATCTAAGAAGATGAGAAGAAAAGAAGCAATAAGCAAAACAGAAACAAAGAAAAAAGATGTCAAATAAACCCTGAAAGCAAGTAGTTACTAAGCCTGTCAGCCATCAAGCTTTTAGACAGTACGTTTTTAAAGCCAGTAAATTCAAAGCTGTCAGGCCAAGAGAGGCCTGGTTCATTACTGCTTTTTAAAAACATGTCAAGTTTTTAGCATGTACTTAAGGCTGAAAAGGATGAGGTACTTTCATACTTCCATTTCTGCTTGGCTCAAACAAAGTGTGCTGAAATGAGAAATGTTCTTGAATAAATATTTTTATTAGATGTTCTAGCGCAACCAATTTTTCCTTAGAGAAATAAGTTATTAACATAAGAAGAGTAAAAAAAAAGGTACAAATAGTTTGAGAAATGCCAATTAACATCTGAATGGAGAACAAAGAACCACCAAGAATGGTTGATCCAAGACCAGACAGTTCTGATCATAAAAGACCCCTGGGGTGGGGTACGGCCATCCACTTAAAATGGCATTACCTCACCAACTGTCCTCCCACCAGCCAGTCACCTGTCTCTGTACAACATGCGAGCTCCCATCAGGCATCACTGCAGTCAAAATAAAAAGGTACGTAATAAGACAGAGTTTGTTGCAGCTCCTCAGACTGAAGAAGTCTTTTGGATAAAAAAAAAAAAAATGTTTTGACAAAAAAAAAATCCATCCAGAGGACCTGACTCTAACTTATTACATTAATCTACCTGGATTATTGAGCAGCATCAGGATATAAAAAGGTACATAGTTCAGTACATGAACAGAGACGAGAAGGAAAGTTGGACATGAACCATGTGGCTAGCTTCTTAGCGTCACCTTTTTCAAGGTGATCTTTTGCAGAGAACAAGATTGTATTCCTAACAGGAAGAGCAACTCCAGCAATGGAACTGATAACATAAAATGAGATGAAAGATATTTTAAAATGGAAGTATCGACACTACTGTGGCTGAGTGGTTAGAGCAGTCGTCCTCCAGTGCAAGAGTTGGGAGTTCGAATCCACCAGCAGTCACATGCTGAAGTGTCCCTGGGCAACACACTGAACCCCTTGTTGCCTCCGATATGTGTCCCATCAGTGTATGAATGTGATAAAGTTCTGATTAGTCTCTTTAGAATGATTTGTTCAATTATCTTTGTATAGATCTAGTATAGAGCTGTATGAATGGGTAAATGAGGCACAGATTGTAGTGTAAAGAGCTTTGAGTATTTTGATAAGATAGAAGGGTGCTATATAAGTACAGTCCATTTATCATTTACTTGTGGATTTTTTTTCTTCTAGTATTTTTTATTTGTTCCTAGCCTGCTGAAAATGAAAACACTGTTCTGGTTGTTTTATTTCACTATGGACACATTGTCATCAAGGCTGTCTTTGTTAATCTGATGGAGTCAGCTCGAGGCTCATCTCTGCAAGCTGCAGAAAAGTTCAAAAGTTTAGGACAGCAGAGTGGATCATTAGCTGGAGAAGCACCACGACCAGATTCTGTCTCCTAAATTCAATCAACCTTTATTTCTACAGGTTAGTCTCATTGAGCCTCAGAGACTCATTTACAAGAGAGACCTGCTTTTAACAAAGAATGATGACATCAGTGGACAATCATAAAAGAAAGCATGTAAACTGAGAAGAATAAATGAAAGAAGGTCTATAAGGTCAGGAAACCAGTTAATGAACATCTTTTTTTTATTATTACTTTTTTGGATCGTGTATGGGCTTTTTTTGGGGTTATGTGTTGTTCCTGTTGGTTATTCTGTTTAGTGTTGTTTGGCATTCATGTTCAGTTTGTTGTGAGCGACTGTAAAAAGTGACACCATAAGTCAGATGTTGTATCTGATGCATGAAAAGGGAGAAAGTACTTCCTTTTAAACAAGTAAACAAATAGTAAAACTAATGAAGTGGCATATTCAGAATGTGACTTTTGAGTGTTTTAAAGTACGCATTTGGCAGACTACAATGTCAATTACCAAAACGGAAGGTCCAGCACTTCATGGTTCACCAGCAGGCAGGCAAAACACATGGAACACCATAATAAAGATGATGGAAGAGTGCAGGAACATCTGTGCTAAGGACATGGTAAAGGTTCTGCAGCCAAAGTGGGAGACTCCATTAAGGGTGTTGGAGAATGACAAGGTGAAGATACTGTTGATTTTCCTGATCCAAACTGACTGATAGAAACAAACCATACATTATGGTGGTCCCCAAACCACAGAAGAAGACAATAGATATAGTAAAGCAAAGTAAATGTAAAAGAAGGAGCACAAGCTCAAGAAACACCACAGTTTGACAGATTAAAGAGAGAAGTTTGGGAGAATCGGCCTCAGAACTGGCCGGGCTGTGACCCACAAACTGGAAGAGTGGCTCCAGCAGATCCCAGGAACCACCTTGAAGATCTCTGTCCAGAAGAGTTCAGTCCAAACAGTTAAAATACTGCACAGAACCCTCAAACTCCCAAGACCCGAGCTTGAAATGAAGAGTACAACCATTTCTGTGGAAAAGAGCAAGCTCACACACATTTTGTGTGTATTTATTTTGGGATTGTGAATGAAAATTAGACAATGACTAAACCCAGTAATGTAGGTCTGGTCACTCAAGAGAGTGATGTTTAGTGCATGGTTTGAAATAAAAGTAGTCTTTATTTCTTTGTTAAGACATTGGCAAAACAGACCAGTACTGCAAAAATTTAGAGTCGTTAAAGGCAAATAAGCAAACAATAATGCTGGTAACTATTTATAACTTTTCTTTGAAGCTCCTAGAACAATAACGGTGACACCTGTAATACAGTGAACTCTTGAGTTGATTATTAGCTAACTAGTGGTGTCATTTTAAAGAAGAACAAACAAAAACCTGGGGTGTCTTAACCATCTTTTTAACTAATCGAACATTTAATGGTCATCTAGGTCTAGAAAATATGCTACCCCTTAAAAAAAGAGATGAAAAACAAGCAAATGGTAAATGGACTGTACTTATCTAGCGCCTTTCTATCTAATCAAATCACTCAAAGCTCTTTACAACACAATCTGTGCCTCATTTACCCATTCATACAGTACTCTACTAGATCTGTACAAAGAATAATCCGTGCTTTAGAACATTCATACACTGACGGGACACACATCGGAGGCAACGAGGGGTTCAGTGTCTTGCCCAGGGACACTTCGGCATGTGACTGCTGGTGGATTCAAACCTCCCACTCTTGCATTGGAGCATGACTGCTCTAACCACTCAGCCACAGCCGTCCCACAAAAGGACAAAAAGATGGACTGAATATTTAAGTACAGCGGGGGGCAATTTCTAAAAGTTAACCTTCATCATAATTCGCCATCAGTCTCCCACTATTCTAAATCTTGTCCATCCAGGTGGACGGTAAGGGCTTTGAATAAAAATGATTACAGTGATAATCTCAGCACCCGTGGGCTGAAAAATCACTATGCGCCAGGCTCCCCCACTCTCAGTCACAATCCATAAAGGAGTCCAGAAGCATATGCTGTGAATGAGGAGAACCCAATGCAGTTTTCACCCACAAGATGTGGAGACAGAAACAGAGCATTTGATTTAACATGAAAAACTGCGTTCAAGTAAAAAACCAGAGCAGAGTGTCTCATAAAGAGGTTTTGTTCACATTGGAGTGTTTGTTTAACAAAGCTTGTTTTAATCCAATACTCTTTGTTTTAATTGTTTTGGTTTAAATGCACACATTTCCTATTTGTCAGCATGTCTTATTAGATTTAAATTGGTATACAACCCTGTTATCTAATGTCTAGACATGTTTCTAAAAGACTTACCTTGGAGGCCAAAGATTCGGCACTTTCTCTGCAAATCTTTTCAATTTCCAGGTTCTCCTGAATGGCACTGACTTCTTCAATCACCAGCTGAGACACTAAGAAAAAGAAGAAAAAAAGATAATTGAGTATATAAGGTAAACATCATGACGACTTGTATAATTTAGCATTTATCACAAAAAGTCTACATACATCTACATCCTGTGTGCTGTCACAAATAGTGATGCTAAAAAGTGTGACTGGAACCAAACAGCTTCAAAGTGTAACTGATTCAAAAATTGAGGATCACAAATAACATTTCTAGTAGTGTTGTGTGTTCAAGACCAAGACCAGAGTGTACCGAGACCTAGACAAGACCAAGACTTTTAGGGTCCGAGATCAAGTCGAGACTAAGACCTCAAATAAAGTAAATTAAATATAACATTTTATTATAAAATAGTTTATATAAATGTTGCATACTGCAACTTTAAGTTTGCTTTTGAATGAATATATCAGCTTTTATAAATTTTCAAAGCTACATAAAGAAATCAGACATTTAGTGGCCTAACTTTATGTGATTCAACAATAAAATTATACAAGTGTTAAACTGGAAGCAGTTTCATCACATGCCAAACCTTATAAAACTGCAGTGGCAAAACACTCTTCATAAATCCAAACTCAACACCAAGGATAACCATATAGTTGCACAGTGGTTTCAATAAAGTAGTAGATATGCACCTAAAAATGTTACATAACTGGATATTAGTTACACGTATATTCTTTGTGATTTAAATAGCCAAAGTTTATAATTGATGATATGGCAGACATCTTCTCCTGCGCCCAGACAATCACTTCTCATTTTCTTGGACCAATGTTGCCAGATAGAGTTGAGGTTTTCCAGCCCAAAAATATGTTAAAAACCACCCGATAAAAATCTGCCCAATCAGTATATTGTTACAGTATATTTACTGTTTGAACATGAACACACATCAGTACAAGCCAAGGTAATTTAACAATATGTGGCAAAATGCAACAACCCAACAAAAATCTTCCCAGAGTTCCCAGCAAAATCAGAATGAAAACCACCCAACTGGCAGTAAACCACCCAATCTGGCAACACTGGGAGTGACACGTGCAAGTGAAAGGGGGTGGGTGTGACAGACGTAACAAAACCATGTATTTAGCAATGAGTCATGTTATCTCTTGAATTTGAATCAGTAAGTTTTGCATCCAATTAAAACAAAGATGTTAACAAATAAACTGGACAATATTCTAGTAATTTAGTGATATTTCCACAGTTGTAGTCTTGAGTGGTTTTGAAATAAAATCCCGAGTCCTTAATATCCGAGACCGAGACAAGACCGAGACCATCAAAAAGTGGTCTTGAGACCAGTCTTACGATCAAGACCGGTCTCGAGTACCACAACACCAATTTCTAGAATAATTAATTGGGGAAGAAAATGCAATAAATAAGATGGTAAGATTTTTTAAAATCAGTACAAACAAAACAAAAATGCATATATTTGTTCAATTTTTGGATGTTTCTTTTTTCTGAGTGGTGATCTGGATGGGATATTTATTTTCATCTGACTAAAACCACTTTTTTCTCCCTTTTTTTAAAAAACCACAAACCTTGAGTTACACAAAATCAGCAACACTTAGTTTCAGGTTCAAAAGTTAAATCAGATCCTCTGGATGGTTTCTTTTTGTTGAAATGTTTCATCTTTCATCCAAAAGACTTCTTCAGTCTGAGGAGCCACAAACTCAGTCCCATAAGCAGCACACTCACATAGTGGGACAACCAGTTTGATAGTGATAAAATGGTCTCTGGAGTCCACCCTCTCCCCCGCCGATTCATCTGAGGCAGTCATGGCCAAAGTGGTTCAAAACATCAAAGTTCATGCTCAACAATCCAGGACCTGGATTATTGAGCATGAACAAGTATAGCAAAAATACAAATAACATAATTTAGTCAGAAAACCCCATAAATAAATTAAGCAAATTTTATTTATCTGAGAATCTAATCTAGATTACATCACTTTCCTTTGCTCAATACTGGTTACAGTTTATAAGATTTGGGAAAATTTTGATTTTAAGAAAGTGTTTCTAATCTTATTTTAAAAGCAGCAAATAAATATAGCCAATGTCAAGGGTGAAGCTGTGATTTGGACATAAGTAGAAAAGTATGTGTGAACCATAAACAGGTACTGACAAAATTCACTGTGCACAATGCACAGTGTTGTTGGGCTCTAAAGGTAACCAGATTATTAATGTTAACATATAAATCTAACCGATCTTTATAATAATACAGCATAATGGAATCATATTTGTGCACACCACAGCATCTCCACATACTGAGGGTGTTGGACGGTAGGCCCATGATAGAATCTGTAATATGGCACAAAGAGATACTGGATTTGCCAACACAGCAATTGCAAATCACATGCACTCTACATGCACTCTAAATGCACTCGTCACATGCATTTTCTACGGACTAACAGCACAATGCTTCCCACGCCTCGAGGAAGTCCTTCGACAGGTACTTCGAACTATTTCTTAAATGTTTTGGTTATCACTCAGACTGTGTTTAGGCTATCAATCCCTGCAACCTGTGGGCATCTGTGGTGTTCCATCCATCCATCCATCCATCCATCCATCCATCCATCCATCCATTTTCTTTACCAGCTTTGTCCTGTCTGGGTCATGGTGTAGATGCGGCCAATCTTCAGTGGTCCTTGTGCAAGACGTTGGGTACACACTGGAAAATTTAGCTTGGTTCTCAAAGGTTTTTTCCATTCAGAAACAATACCTCACTCTAGTCCAAAAACATGCAGACTAAACTGAAACCATGTCTTCATGAGGAAACTTCTATTCGCCGAGAGGCCACCTCCAAGTCCGAGTCAGAGTAACACTTAAAACTCAGTCAATGTACAAAAATATAACATATAGTACTGTGCATAACACTAGTAGTACTAGTACTTGGATCAATTTAAAATTTCTCACATAACTTTCTCCAGCTCTCATCTAACTTACTTGTACAAATTGTATTATGAACAATTTATGAAAAATAAGCTAAAATAATTTTGTCCTCGACCAGTATAAAAGTAAGTGACACATGTTAATCAAGCATTTGAGCTGTGTGTCCAGAGACCATTAGGTGGAAGCCTTCACTGAAGTAACATTTTTAAACGAAAAAATTAAAAGCAGCACATAAAACTGAATTGAAAGATAGCATTCATGTCAATATGAACTGAAAAAGTCAACTTGTGTTCATTCAGCCTGATTAAAATGCCATCAAAGAAATAAAAAGCATAAATAGGATTTTTAAAGGAGTAGGTGCATACCACTGGTCTCCTTTCACTGCACAGTTAATTGAGATAAAAGTTGCCCAACACTTGACACTGAAGTGTATTTCCTTTTATTATTGTACCTGCCGTGTGAGGAGCCTCGATGATAAATCAACCTATGTGCTTCATTTGATTCAATTTTCCAAGGAAGTGAACTAAATATTTTCCTTGGTTTATGTTTTTTCAAATATTTTCCCTACCTTTTTGTACTCATCTGTCAGGGCTGATGTGTATTAAACATAGACTGAATTCATGTTGAGAACAATTGTAGAGCACAAGAACATGAATAAAAGCTGAATATAAATGCAGGCTTTTTGTTCACAGTCACACACAGTGTTAAAACTAACCTTGAGTGAAGAGAAACGTTTGCTTTACTAAATTACTCTAATGTGTACGACAACATTAAGGTATTAGAATATGATGAAAAGAACAGAGAACCTAAATTTGATGCAGTACTTAAAACTGAAAACTCAAGTAAATATTATCACTAGGCAACTATCGCTTTTTGTTTCAATATGATGCCAGCCACACTAAAATAGACATGACAATACCAGTGCACTGTTGAATCAGCTGATCTTTTAACAATAATCCATAACCATTTGGCAGTGGAAGTTGTTGTAGAGCTAAGTAATATGCACTCCCTGACAAAAAGTTGAGCACCCAGACTTTTTCAACCTTTATGGTTTGTGCAGGGGCAGCACGGTGGCGCAACTGGTAGAGCTGCTGACTCTCAGTGAGCAGGTCCTTGGTTCAAACCCTGGTCCGGGGGCCTTTCTGGGTGGAGTTTGCATGTTCTCTCCGTGCATGCGTGGGTTTACTCCAGGTGCTCCGGTTTCCTCCCACAGACCAAAATGTTAGGTATGTTAGGCTGATTGGTAACTCTAAATTGTCCCTAGGTGTGAGTGAGTAAGTGAATTGTTGTTTGTCTCATTTGTCTCTATGTGGCCCTGTGATGGACTTGTGACCTGTCCAGGGTGTACCCTGCCCCTCGCACAGTGATTGCCGGACATGGGCACCGGCGACCCCCATCCATCCATCCATCCATCCATTATCTTTACCCGTTTATTCCATTTTGGGTCACGGGGGTCGCTGGTGCCCATGTCCAGCAATCACTGTGCGAGGGGCGGGGTACACCCTCGATGGGTCGCAAATCCATCACAGGGCCACATAGAGACAAACGAGACAAACAACCATTCACTCTCTCACTCACACCTAGGGACAATTTAGAGTTACCAATCAGCCTAACATGCATGTTTTTGGTCTGTGGGAGGAAACCGGAGTACCCGGAGAAAAACCCATGCATGCACGGAGAGAACATGCAAACTCCACCCAGAAAGGCCCCTGGACCGGGGTTTGAACCAAGGACCTGCTCACTGAGAGGCAGCAGCTCTACCAGTTGCGCCACCGTGCTGCCCACCGGTGACCCCCGTGACCCAAAATGGAATCAGCGGGTAACGATAATGGATGGATGGATGGTTTGTGCAAGTTCTTTGATGCTAACAAAGTTCATGCTCAATAATCTAAATATACAATCCAAAAATTTTCAGTCAGGTCATCTGAACAACTTCTTTTTTTGTGCTGAAAACTTTCACCTTCCATCCAAAAGGCTTCATCAGTCAAGGAAACCATCCATCCATCCATCCATTTTCTTCCACTTATCTGGGGTCGGGTCGCGGGGGTAGCAGCCTAAGTAGGGAGGCACAGACTTCACCTCTCCCCAGCCACTTGGGACAGCTCTTACGGGGGAATCCCGAGGCGTTCCCAGGCCAGCT